ATATATATATATATATATATATATATATATATATATGTTCGTATTTATATATTTATGGAAATATAAGAAGAAATAATTAGGTATCAGTATGGCTTCTTATTGTTTATTCTGAAGTTTATAGTGGCACCGTAAAAAACTGCTGATTAGCCAGTGTCCTTTTGATTATTCACATATTTTTGGTGTTACCGCTTAAATTTCTTATCAAATAAACGGTTGCTTGAACCGTAATAGAAATTTCAACGTTTTTGGTCGAAATGTATGAACTAAGAAATTAGTTTACTTATTGTAGTTTATTGTCTCCTTTATTTCTCAATTCTGCGAGATATTTTTGCGTAGTTTTAAACTAACTTTTTTTTTTTGTTTTTATCTTCTCATATTTTCAGTTTTTTACGCAATTTTTTTCTGTGTCAGCAGAAAGAAATTTGCCAAAAGTTTGCTCTAATGTACAAAAAAATGTAAGTTGAAACGGTTATGTGATTACTAATTGAAAATTCGATTAACCGGAAGAGCGATTGATGTTCAATTTAAACAGGTATCATCTAAAAAATCACAAAATTTTTTGCTGTAGTTCAGTGTTTTTTTTTCTTTTGCAGTCGGAGAAATTAACTGACTGCAGTTTTTTTCTACTGACTTCACAATAGTTGTCTGCTATTAGTTACCATTTAGAAAGAGGTTGTGTTTTTTTTTTTTTTATTTCGAAGTGGAATAGAAGGGTAGAAGGCATTTGGGGGGGAAAAGTGTAGAGTAGTGCTTTTATTAGATTTCTGACGTTCCGGTAGACTGGTGCACTTAGGAAGTGACCAGTCTATTCAGTTATTTTAGGCATCGCATTATTGGTTCTACGGTAAAGCTTAGCACTGCAAGCGTGTGTTTTTAGACCATAGTCCATGGGCGGTCGAGTTATATCGGAAAAGTACGTTATTGAGGGGGAACGTAGTTTTATTGGAGAGGAGCGTGTGCTGAGCTATTTTACGGTTTTCATTGAAAAGTGTCCAAAGAACGGCCCAAAATTCTTTCTTCACGTAGTT